TTGGCCATTTTGTGCAGCTGCTTAGGGGAACTCCTAAGCCACTAAAAGTCCTCTTCCCTGCTCTTAGCAGATCTCGCCTTAGGAGCCCTTTTAAGTGCTAGGAATCTTGAGGAATAGCTTTTATATTAACTGGGATAGTCGTGTCACTTTTAGGGGAAATTCTAAGAAAACGTCATGACTCTGAGAATTTTCTTAGAATTTGGCCACTAGGAGCCACTTTTTGCACAAAGATTCTTTAGGGATACGGGCCCTGGTCTGTGATGGGAAACTGAAGGAAGGAAATTATGATGGACAAGTTGCTCCTGACTCTACTGTCACAGATCTGAGATCAGTTGCCATTTGTGTGTTTGTTACAGCTAGCATTAGCTCTGTTCCCTTGAGAGGCTGCCAAATACATATTTTCTCAAACTGTTAAGTATGCCAAAGAAAACAAAAGATTAAGAGTGTGATTTATTATTTTAATAGATAAATACTCTTACTGAGCACCTTGGGCAACATGGGTGATGCAGAGGAGTTAGGAGTTAGAGGAGTTTGTGCACAAAAGTTAATAATTCCTTTAGTAGATGATGATCAACATGATCCCATTCTTCTTCAATAGTGGTGAGATCTGGGCTCTGGGGAGACCAATCCATGATAACATTGTTGGGGGGGGGGTCTATCCTTTTACTGCATTAACAGTGTGTTTGACAAATGATAAATGAAGATGATACATGAAGATGTTGCCAATCAGATGCTTAGCTATCACGGTTCATACAAGTCTGAGAGTACTTTTCCACATTTGTAATTCCATCAGGTTTTGATAAAATCCCCAACAACACTGGCTGAAGTGTTGCTCCAAACAATGACTTGCTTGCAGGTAGATTTTTTAGGGGTTTTTTGCCATTCCTCTCATCCTTCACTTGTCCAGATTAAGTTTTTGGGTAATAGCTTTTTGAGAATCACCTTAATGGTGCAAAAATACAATTTTATGCTTCTCAAGCTGTTACCATTTGCACAAATTATGTGTTTTACAGACAGGCTGCTAGTAACAAAGTGTCTAGAGGTACAATTGGAAATTGATTATTTGCCAAGTTGTCTGTTAGACACAACATTGGTTTATCCCTCCGGTTGAACAACTTTTTATACTTGAATATGATTCATAGGTCAGTGATAAGTGGCTGGACAAACAACTAAAAACAGACATTTCTCTGAAAATGGTCAAATACAAGGACTCAACTGAAAATGAGTGAAGATGATAGCAATGTCCAAAAGAAAAGCCTCCAGACATTCAGAAAGAGAATTATTGCTGAAGACCACTTTAAAAATTGCTTCTTGAAAGCAAAATATAAAGAAATGAGGCCTACTTCAAGACTTGTACAGTCCTGTATATCTGGTGATTCTGACGGGTTCTGGTGGAAATTTTTGTTAATAATCAAGTTTTTCAAAGGAGCAGATAGAGAGAAATATAAAACATAGTAATTTTTAAAGGTGTTTTAATCAGAGGTGTGTGATAATATGAAGAGAAATGCAAGCAAACCTGTAGGCTCCAGTCCCCGACCCTGATGAGTATACGTGAAAGATGGATGACTCCATCATTAAGTCTTTCCCTAATAACATGTCAGGAGCTTTTGGTTAATAAAAGTTGCCATGATCATTTGGAAAGAAAGATCCGAGTGTAGAGAATAAAACAGATGCATCATTTGACCACCACAGTCACATTTTCATCTTTATTGGACATGATGACAACACAGTTTTACACAGCAGATTTATAGGATGCACAGTAGAATCAACCTGTTCTGTTACATCACATTAAGCTCATACATGCAATACATCACACACTCTTAAACACTCTGTAAACAATAAATACAATCAAACTAAAATGAGTAAGAAACACAGATTTCGTTTAGTGTAGACTGCAAGTAAGAAAGCAGGTGTTCGGCTGTACAAGAAGAAGAAAATATAAGCAGAAAATGGGAGAGTTTCTATATTAAAGTAACAAGACTGCTTCACTTTGTTGTAAACAGCTGGGTAAAGATGAGTTTTACCATCTCCAGTTTGGATTTTTCCAGCAAATGTACCTCGTGTGTTTAAAAAAGAAAAATCCCCAGTAGGTTTTAACCATTTTGGTTCACTACCTTCACAGCAGAACCTCTTTTTCTGGCTGGATGACCAGATCTTCCTCACTTGTTATTTACTCCTCAGCTCTTCCTCTCTGCCTCCTTCATTTTTCCTCACCCTTCCTCCCTCGAGAGGCTGCCAAAAACATATTTTTTCAAACTGTTAAGTGTGCTGGAGAAAACGAAAGATTAAGATCTCAAAGCTGTCAGGACCTGGTGGACTGTTTGTGTGTGCGTGTTTTCAAAAAGAAGCCGTCTGACGAAATGCTGGAGGAACTTGTGAAAAGCTTTGACACGCCCGGGTTTACAGGTGTGTATCGGTGTTAGAAGCTTTCTGACTGCACTAATGAAACTGACAGGAGCTGGAGAGAGGAGAATGACGAGGGGAGAAAATAGAAGCAAAGCAAGTTTGAGCATTTTGCAAGAGTCACAAAAATCTAAGCCCAGTACAACTGACAGAAAACACTATAAATATATTTGCATATATATTTATATATAGATTTCACTTTCTGAATAAAACTCTGAGTACTAAAACAGTTAAATTTTTTTTTAAGTAATAATGTGCAAAAATGTGTCATCAACCACAAAGAACAGAGCTCAAAAACCTGATGGTAAAATTTTGCCGTTGGAAATGTCCTTTGTTGCATCTCTAAGCACCCCTAACATCGATGTAATCATGTACCAACACTGTAGAGTTTCTTTATCCCCCTGCAGAATGTGCAACTTCTGCTAGTTTGCTATTGTTAAATTTCATCATCTTCCTCCTAAGAGGTGATGGTTGTACTTGGCTTGGGGCAAACAAGGTAAATCTAGAATGATAGCAGCATTTTAAATATAAATGTATCTCTGCATCATGTATTTTTAGTGTCATAAGACGACTTTTCCATTTTGGCTCTTTTAACTTATGCTAAATAAATTTGGTCCTTCTTGTTAACCAATAGGAAAAGCACATTTTCCAAAATAAGTGATTTGTGGTTTAAAAAAACAAAACAAAAAAAAAACTGCTGGCAGAGGCTTGAAAATGGACTGGAAATTGTGAACTGGAAAAGTGGAAATTCGCCACATTAGCCACAATACATACAAAACAGGACAGATGCTCAGATCACTATACAACATGAACAGCCTACATACGTTGCACAATGGCTCTGAGGATATGTTGGCTGAATATGGACACATTTATAGTCATAGATATATTTCAAAAGTCAGATGTGAAGAGGACGATGACGATTTCACGTGCAACTGCCAAATATACAGTGTTGTCCTCTGCAAAGAAACAATCCAGTGGGAAAAAAGGAGGTCTTTTTTAAACTTTTGTTTTAAATGTATTAACCTCCAGAATTTTTAGCCTTTGAAAAGAGAAACAAAGTCCAGAGAATCTTTGTGGAAGTGATAGGAATGATTTCACTGGAAGAATAAAAAATAATATGAAGAGGTGGAAATAGAAATATTTCATTAGATATTTTAGACCAAAAAGTGAATATTTTGCTTTATGAAGGTGCTGAAGGCTGAGGATCAGCCAGCTACGAACCAGTTGACATACAAAACGAGGGGTAAACGTTCATGCGACAAGTGAAATTAACAAACACAAGAAATAGGATTTTTTTTTCTTAAAAATGACCAAACATTGGGAGCTAAACTGAGCTTTCCCATTAAAAAAAACCCCCATTACTGGTAACCACTGATGATGTATCTAACTTAATTTAAATTTAAAGGTAACCAAAATAGCATTAATTTGTCTCCTTTTACATATCTGCAGTAAGAGCAGCTACACCTCCAACCTCCAAAGCTTTAATGGGACTTTCAGGACGAGCAGTCTGAAGTGAGAATGTGTGTTTAACAGTGAAAATACACTTGGGTGCAGACACACACACACAAACACTTCTGTGTGAAGCCAGAGAAGTTTCAAAAGCTTCCAAGGTGTCACAAAAATACTCACACATGTGCACACGCACATTTGTGCAGCTTGAAAGGTGAAATGCATGTACTGGTCTTACAGAGGTCGGAGCGTACCTAAGGCCAGAGGTCAAACTAATTCCTTTCACCATTTTCTACCCCCCAAAATACACATTTTAATCAAAGTTTAATCACCAAAGTAAATACCTCCCATACATAGAAAACATTTATTAATCAAGTGATCCAATTACTGGAACTGAAATAAAATTTAAAAAAAAGAAAAAAAGAAAAAAGAGACTTAAATTAACAGCAAAGGTTTGGAGGGTCTGTGACATCCAGCATCAACGGCAAATAAATAGGAATGGCAAAGTAAATGATTAAAAATACATCAATGCAAATCATGTAAACAAGGCTTCTATCACGGCCTATAAAGATATCACACAGTCACTTTCCTTACAATGATTACTGCAGGAGATAAAATGAGAACATGAATCTGGTCCAAACCTGGGCCTGAGCTGGGCTTTTATCATTCCTTCAGATTTTGACCTCAACTATTAGTTTTGATCATACTTCGAATCTCTTAACTCTAAAACTTGGCCACTAAAATATCATCTGAACTGCAAATACCAAAATTACCACCAAATAAATCCAGAGTGTAGCTTTCTAGAGTCTGCTTCAAAGGAAAAACCTCCTACCAGGCCCAGGTCTGTCAGCAGTAAATACAGCTTGGATTTAGACCATGAAGCGATGCTCCTTGCCATCATGGGCCATCAGGATGACATTGCGGTTGGACGTCCAGATGAGACGGGCAAGCTTCAGGTGGTTCTGGGAGCCTGGGGAGGCCGGCTGGACCGGAGGAACCTGGTACGTCTTGATGCAGCGAAGCTGAGGAGCAGAGTTCAGCATTCCGATGCTGCCCAGCAGACTGGTGTTCATCTGAGGAGGACCAACAACACATGAAGCCACACATTCACCTTATCTATCAATCAAAGCCTTTTAACATTTGCCAGGTGTTAATAGGTGACCAATTTAGGGTTAAGTTTCATTTTTAGCAATGTGCTAAACAAGCAGAGTTTTATAAACTAGAAGCTAGAAGATGCTTTCAATTCAAGTTTCTTGGATAAAGTAAAGTTGGTGGACTAAAACAGGGAGAATCACTATGATACTTGCACTTCCCAAACACTAAACAGGTCACTAGCAACCTGGAGGATTTTAACCAGTTTATTGCTCAGCCAGCCTGGGAGGTTTGAAGTTTGGCTGTATGGATGTTTTTTCAGTATTGGAGCAGGTCAGGTATGTTAAATTAATTTTAGTTCCTGGGGAACATACATACCACCACAAGTTGATCTCAGATGGGCCAAATCAGTAAAACCAATGGGTAGTAAGCTATCTTTGTTTTTAACGTAAGTGCAAATGCAGCTATTGGTGAGATGGAATCATTAATGACTTTTCTGAATAACAACTTTTGCAGTTTGCAAAGCCATCCACAGTAGACTGGATTGGTCCACCTTCATCCATGGGTACTCTTTTAAAAGAGATTTTTGATCTCACAGTTTCATTTCTGGAAAATGAAAACCCACTTTATAACTATTTCTGTGAGCCTTTTTTGTCATAGTCTTGGTTTTCTGCGTATTATTCAAGCATCACTTTCTGGTTAAATACAATTTAAAGAACGATTTTATGGAGCAGCAGGTAACTGATAAAACATAAGGCAGGAAGAGCTGGGCTAGCTGGTCAGTATTGCCTGAATTTTCAAAATAAAAGCAAGGGAATGGTGTCATTCTCAGACAGCCATTAATAAACCTGAACGTCTCACTCATGCGCTCATGTGAAGTCTGTGTAGGAAACACTGCCTTCTCTTTCTACTGAGAGCTGATATCTCCTCCCTCATTTTGACAAAAATTAGTTATTGAACATCCGATGATCATCAGTTTCTGCTGAACCCTGTGAAGACGTCTCAGAGGGAAAACCTGGAGTTTAACCCCAGAGTGTGTCTATGTAGGAAATACACAGCGAGTGGAAACCAAGACTACACTGCCTCACACACATACACACACGCCCCGACAGAGCGTCTGCCAGCTCATTACCACAGCAGCCGTCTTGCCGGCGCGCTTACAGTGGTTTATGCTTACAGTAATGCCATTAACGTGTGTGTGTGTGTGTGTGTGTGTGTGTGTGTGTGTGTGTGTGTGTGTGTGTGTGTGTGTGGAGACATCTGTGTCAGAGGTCGTAAAGACCTTTCACTCAAAATAACGGTTCCTGGAAGAAGATAAGAGGAGCCTGATCGGTTATCTGAGTTTGTTATAGTTTATTTAGATGCTTTATGTGTTAAGACTTTTATTTTCAAGTTAATTTTTTAGTTTGTGTAGATACAGTGGAATTAAAAGTAAACATGTAAATGAAAATATCTAAATTCAGTTTTTCATGTTTTTAACCCACTGTACAGAACAGTCATGACTGAAAGCAGCCAACTGGACAGTTTTTTTTTATTTGTTTAAATCCACCACTGGTTTGTCTGAAAAGAAGTGAAATCTGAAGCTGTTTGCATGCTGATAAACTGATAGCTCTTTACACTTGGCAGATTTCATGTAAACTTTAAGATACCTGCAGGGAGGAGTCTAAAGGAGGGCTCAGCATTTATTCCACTGTATATATACTAAAGAAATCCTTAGCTATTGTTTTTTCCCCCGATTTATAATATAAATATTAATTTAGAAATAAGTTATTCTCTTGTCTCATAGAATAAACTTTTTTAAAAGCAAAAAGCTGCACAAAGGGTCAGTCTAATTTCTTGCACTGCATAAACCACATCCTTTCTTTTATCTATTTTATCTAATCTATTTCTTTAGTTTTGTGTAACGTTTTTTTGCTTGAATAAAAAGACAAGGGTGGAAATGTGCAAAAAAGGTTGCCCTTCACATAAAGCTTTAAATCTGCTTTAAATATACTGGAAGTTCATATCAAACCACAAACCCAAGTCCATGTTTATTACATCAGAAACAAACTCACCTTTGTAAATCTGACTCTATACAGTCTTACCACAAAATAGTTAACGACTTCAGAAGGATTGCATTAAGATAGTTTGTATGTGTCTGTATGGGTGAGTCTTACCTGCCAGAAGGAGATATGGCTGTCAGCGCTGGAGTAGGTTGCCAGATAACGGCCATCAGGGGCGAATGATACCGCTGTGATTGGACCTTTGTGACCGTGAATGTTCTACAGAGGAACAATATGGGATAAAACAAACTCATTAAAAACAAATGAAGAATAAAATAAAGTGAATAAAAAACATGCCGTAGATGGAAAACAAAACAGAGCATCAATGCTCGTTTCTCTTTTTTCTAGTAACTGTTAAATGAAAAACTTATGCAAACTTCATTTAAAACTCCAGGAGTCATAAACTGTGTGTTGATGGTGTCAACATGCAGAAATCAGCCTGTTAAAATATTTACTCTTTAACATTTACCACAAGTACTTTACTCAGAAGACAAATGAGGTGGTCTAATTCAAACTGTGCTATGGAATTAATTTTCCACCAACTGGTTAAAATTTAAAACAAAAATAAATTAGGGGAAAGTGTAAAGTAAATAAACACAAGAAAACATAAATGTAAATTCAGAAGAAAATAAAATTATTCAATCTTTGTGATGTTTTATGAATTAATATCTAAGAAAAACAAACCACTCAAATCAATTAGACATCCGAATCAACCAATACATCTGGTAACCAACCAAAATAGAAACAGGTAGGCAATCAACTAACCACCCAGGAGGGTAACTAAACTAAGCCAATAATTCTTGAATTCAATAAAACAAATAGGAAGGCAACCAAACCAGGAACCAGGCAATCAAACAGGGAAGCAACGAAACAACCAGTCAACCAGGCAGCCATGCAACCAAACAACAAGGTGGATAACCAGTCAACCAGCTAGCCAGGTGCGTAAGCAACCACCCAAACAAGTAGGCAGACATGTAGCTAAACAGCCAATCAATTAGGCAGGCAACCTATCAACCAAACAGGTAAAGAAAGACCTCTTTTATTACTTATTTATTAATACGTTTGTGGTTTTGATTCCCCACATTTGTCTGCTTTACACTTTAAATAGCCATCTATAAAAAGCACAGTTCTGACATGTCCAACCCTCTTCTGACGAGAGCTTGTTGCTCTGTTTGTTGCTGTGATGATGGGAAGCCATTTTTATTGAGGGTTTTATAACACTGACAACAGACCAGAACAAAATACCACTTTACAGTATCACTTTACAGTTTTATCAGCCAGCAGCACATCACTCACTATCATCACTTAAAGCCGCTAAAATGAGAGCATGCCCCGATTTCCCAGACAGTTCCTCTTTCTGATGGCTGGAGGTTCAGTTCAATAAACTCTGCTCTGTGATGAAGCCTGAATGAAAAACAAATTTTGGCCCTTGTTGAAATTTCATTGAGGCATTTTAGAAAAACTCTGCATCGACAGCACGTGTTCGCTTTGGCAGAGATAATTCCATCAGATGGGTGGCAGCTTCTGGTCCGACAGATGCTGCCATTCGCCTCCAGAACTCTGGGGACAAAATATACCGCTGCGTGTAACACAATAAACTGTCCCACCAGATGCAGGGTGTGTAACGCAATAAAAGAAATCACCCCCCCCCACCCGCCTGCCTTTGCTTGCGACTGGGATTACAAACTCTCACCTCCAGATGAGATTAAGACGCGTCGCCTCAGGCACCCAGACTCTGAAATAATAACCAGTGTGTGGCGATTAAAGCTTAAAAAAAATAATAACACAATGAAATGAAAATCTCATCTTTCTAATTCGTTCTCTCCCTCCTTTTTTCCCCCTTTAAAGGGCAAACCCTATTAGATTCCAGCAGTGTTGTCTGGGAAAAAAGCAGAATTATTTTTATTTCCTTCATCCCTCTCTTCCCCCCATTCAGTGTCTGTCTTCATCTCTACTTTTCCCCTCCATTTTTCTATCTCTTAGGAGAGATCCCAAATCTCATTTCCTGTCACTACTCACCTTAAAGGGAAAATGATCAAAAACAGAGTAAATGCGGTTTGTCTGCAAACAATCATCAGCCCTAACTAAAGGATACTGAAGCCACTGAGAGGGAAATATGACAACTACATCCAGTTGCTCTAAGTCAAAATGCCCACAGTCATGTTAATCCAAAACCAATAAGTAAACTATGTCTTCAAAGTGCTTTTCGAGACCAAGAAGAGTCACAACCTGCTTTTACAAAGGTAAATAAACAAAAACAGCCAAATGCCCAGGAAAACACAAAACACAGACACTACCGCAATTGCTTGTCTCAGCAGATTTATTTTAAACTGGGGGTTTAAAATGAATCTGTTCAGACAAGGATGAGGTCAAAGAACAGGACAACCATGGAGTCAAGGTTGTGAAAAGATAGTGGTAAGATGTCCATAGTTTTGGAAGTTTTGGGGTCTGGAAGACCCAATCATCTTTAGTTTTCAGCAGAATCACAAAAAAGCCCCTGTCTGAGAACCTGACCACATGAATGGATTATTTCCATAGTGCAGGTTGGGGGCCTCACCCGCTGAGGGCATAAAAGAACGAACCAAGATTTTAAAATGGCATTACAATGTAAAGTGACTGCTGTTGTGATTTGGTGCTATATAAATAAAAATGACATTGATTTGAAATTTTAAAACAACTTATCCAATTCGTGAGATTTAAAAGAGACGTAGTGTCATCAGCATAGAAGTGATACATGATTTTAAAACTGCTGGTAATAGAGCTGTTTGATATAACAATATATATATATATCTAGATAGATAGAGATAACTATCTAGAAAGATCTAGATAGATATCCATATCTATCTAGATC